TAGCCTGACATATCAGTTACCATTATACTAGCCTGACACATCAGTTACCATTATACTAGCCTGACATATCAGTTACGCTACCATTACATTACAGTTTGTACAAAATAACTTATAATGTGGTAAATAATAGTATCAGAAAAATGTGATCTAATATATTACTAGGAATATATTTTGTTCACTGCTGTTTAGGAAGTCAATAATTCTCTTGAAGAAACCAGTCAGCAAGCGCTTCAGAACTTTCCACGTGTATTAAGAGATGTGGAAGCTGTCAGACAGGAAGCAGCTTTCCTCCAAGAACAGATGCAGATGGTGAAAGAAGATATTAAAAAGGTCAATATTACAGTTCTGTGGTCCTTGTTTATATCTATCAGCCCATAACAATCACATATATTTTGGTCACTGCATGAATTGAACGTAAAATCAGTCTTAGTGGCATCAAAACATTGCATGGTATTCAAAAAAGCAAAACTATTTTGTTGGTATTTCCACATTTAAAAATATAGACATTTAATGATGGTCTATTTTGATGAAGATGAAGTAACTCAATGCCATATTCCTTTCTGAAATGCACGTGTAGTCATTTCGACATATACTGTGGAATACTTTATTTAAGCTGGAATAAATTTTCGCTGAAAAGGCTTTTTGGGCGTTTTGTATGGAATTTATTTTCACTGACATTGATGAGTTTAATGTGAAATATAGAAAAAAAAGTATATTCGCTGGATTTTATTTTCACCGAAATAGCGAAAATAAATTCCAAGCGAAAATAAAGTATTCTACAGTACGTGTAGTCATTTCGACATACACAATGTATACGTGTATTCATTTCGACATATACATGTAGTCATTTCGACATATACGTGTAGTCATTTCGACATATACATGTAGTCAGTTCGACATACACAATGTATACGTGTAGTCATTTCGACATATACGTGTAGTCATTTCGACATATACATGTAGTCATTTCGACATATACGTGTAGTCATTTCGACATACACAATGTACAGTACTCATTCCGCCCAACCTCCCGCTTTTATTGGTTTTTTTACGACCGCTTATCGCTTAATTTCCGACCGCTCGCTGCTTTCCGACCGTTTTTTTTTCCGCTCACTTTTGTTCGCTCGCTCGCATTTGTTCGCTCGCTCTTGCTATGCTGGCTTGAGAAACATCATCCGCTTGCCAACTGACCACTGGAGTAACGATGATCGTACATTGTATCTATAAACTTGTGTTTTTATTCGTAATAAATTTAGGTTTTAATGACGATTCAAAATACAATGCGTATTGCTTCTCTGTATTGGGAAGGGGGACAAGGACTCTTTCAAATCACTTGACACATTGTAACATTTGCTACGCAAGTCGAACTGTGACCTGTATTTACATATTTACGTCTTTGTGTGTGTAGTTCAAGCAGCTATATAACTGGTCAATCAATCGTGATATGTATTGAGTACTAGTATTTGTGTGTTGTGTGTGTGTTTCTGCGTGTGATTTTGACTAAATTTATTCCGAACAGCGCTCAAAATAATTTGACACTTTGTTATTTGCGAACACAACTCACACTATGACCCTTACTCAATTTGCATAAGTAATACGAATGCTGTAGTTCAGAAAATCTATCGGGTTAACTTTTGCTTGTGTCTAGGTGCGCAAAACAAAACTGCACATATAATCATCGCATAGCTGAATTTCTGCAAATCAATTGGACTTAAACTACTAGTATAATGACTGTGACGATTAATCGCTTGTCTGAGTACATGCGGCAACGAATTATTGGATTGGCAGCAGCCGGACGAAAAATGAAAGAGAGGAAAACATAAAACAAAACAAACTCAGCCAGTGATACATTTCGCAAAAATAAAAATACAATCAGAGGAGCCGACCACGCGCGTTGGAAATAAATAAAACATGTTGTGACACACTGGCAGCTTCATCAGACTCTTCACTTTCACGCAATATAATTATGCTATTTCCCAAGCACTTATATTTAATACATTGACGAAA